GTTGGAAGCACTGTCTGGCGCGTCTGCCTCCGCGACCCGAAAGGAGAAGCGGCGATGGAAGATGATGATATGATGATGATAATCGGCCGCTCATTTTCGATGAATCATCAACTTTTTGTTATGGCGTGTTTGGAAAAGGAGGAGCAGGCGTTTCTACACACTCTATGTACATAAAACTCATTGCATTTAGCAACCCCTCAACATCATTAGATGATTATAATTTTATATTAATCATGTGATATGATGCAAATGATATAAAATGGGTCTAGAAATTTTCTGTCGTAGTTATGAACCTCGTTTTCTTTCATGTCAACTTTTTTGAAATTTGGTTTCGTAGTGTCGATAAATATGAAGATCGTGGCGAAATTCATATCCGGTACCGAAACTGATGTGTTCTGTTTGCAATGTTGCAGTAATGAGTGAATTTACATTTCTCAATATATCGCTATGATAAGGTTTATAGTACGTGGAGCGCGTAAGTCTTTCTAGCCGGCGATGGTCGTTCACTCGTGTTTTAAATTTATGAGGATCAGCTTCGTTTTAAGCTCGATCAACACGATCTGCTGTAAATTTCCCAGAATCACACAACCGTCTCTCAGGGATGAACTTAAAACGATTGGTGAATTGCCACCCTGATGCCGTTTTTCGTCCTAGTTTAATTCTAAGTTTTTCCTGCCTTTGCTTTTCGAGTTCGAAATTGATCTTCTTCGATGTAAACTGTTTCTCGATACACTCCGTGATTGTCTACCTTTTAAGGTTTGCTTGTCTACTTCATGATCGAGAGTGACGACAGTTGATGATTGTCGTTTATTTTTCATTGAACATTCCAGTTGAAATTAAAAAATGGTGAGCGTTTTTCAGCGTCGCTGTTTGTTTTATTGAACTGTGTATGTGAATGAGGCAAAAAACGGTACGGTATAAAACGTTTCAAACTTGTTTTACCTCATTTTTTGTTTTGAAAGTTGAACGATTCTGTTCCTGTTTCTCGTCATTGGTTGGCTTTGATTAGCCAAGGTGTTATAAAGTTTGATCAACAACGGGCGGTCGTGTCGGTCTGAGGGTTGATTTCGTCTTCTCCTTGTAAATCTTTCGGTCTAAACGTTGTTTTGATCAAATATCGAATAGCCCGATTGCAGCTTGATGTGATCGAACCAGTTCGTCGAACGTAGGATCGTCTGATCAAGGAACATCACCTCCCGCACACTTTTCGTCAGCGCCTGTTTCTCTTCTTCCTTCATTGGCAACATATTCAAGAGTTTATTGCAGTGGTTTCGTATTTGTCACCACAAGAAAAGTTCCATGGAAGTTGGCCGGTTCTTCAGGTGCATGAAACTTAACTGAATGGGTTATAGTCGCAGATGACCTGCATATTCTGTAAAAGATTTAACTGATTTCACTGGCTTTTTCTTTTCCGTTGTTCTAAGGAGATTGTTGCTTTAGCAGGGCATTGGTTGATGGAGCATTTCTAATGCCTATCACATGGACCGGACACGAGGTTCTGCTCAGTAAGTTTCTTGACGCGACAGTGCTAAATGTCCGAGTCCATCCCTCCTCGTTAAAGCTGTCGTTTGCGTTTGGCAACCTGAACATCTCTTGCTATCCCCCTCTCTTCCAGTGAGTTCCGTTCTGCGTTTCCTCAAAGAGACAGCGTATGTACAAGTAAATCATTAAATGCAGGTTCGTTTATGTAACGGTGTTCAAATTTCGACCACCACGCGCAGCTGACTAACGAGCAAACTGCGTTCATTCAGCATTGAATATGTTATTAGAAATGATCATGCCATGTGTTTTATGGAGCCCATGCATCGACCAGCAATCTAATTCTGTCTTAATCTTGCTCCTTGCCCTCATTTGCTAGTCAGTTTGAGACCATTCGTCTTTCACCATGCAAGAAATGTCTATATCTGATCAAAAACGGACTGTTGTATGATCGGAAACCGTGATCGACCAATTGTAAACCATTTTCATATTAACTGTCGAATAATTAATTGTCTCATCTATTCATAATGCTTCTACCATTGTTCTTCTTGGTATTATCGTGCAGCAAACACTGGATGATGTTTGATAGATGGGAGGTGTGGTGAAGGATTACTTCACAGATATTACCTCAATGGTGCAAGAGCCGAGAAAATGGTGGCAGTTTATTTGCCGTCATGCCGTAGACGTTTCTTTTCTGATTTCTTTGACGGCTACCTAACGGCTTTTTACGGTAGCTAGTTGCGGAACAGCTGAATCGTTTCTTCACAAATGGCTCAAGAACATGCCAAGTACTGGCATCGAAATGCCAATGAAATTCTTATAGATTATAGACGTACTGATAGAATGCATCCGTTGATGTTATGATCTTCTTTTTCTATGGTTAACATGCCCTGGAACTTCCAGGTCCAGCTGATTACAAGAATGATGCCTGTCGTGCTTGAAATAGTCTCCGCGGTATGTTTACGAGCTTGTAAACTTTTGTGAGTTCCGTGTGTGTTTGTATTTGTTTGTGTTTATCCATTCATTTGGCTAATTCGAAAGACAACCGCCGGACGTGGCGAATTGCAGTCTGAGTTCCGCTGTAGTTCAAATGTTCGTCCACTCGGCCGTCGAAGAACGCCCTACTGCGATGACCTGGTGATCCGGTAACTTTGCCTGCGGTAAAGGCAGAAACAGTGGCAGAACAAAATTTTCTGGAGGAGCGTCGACTTGCGTTCGCGGCACACCCATGATGAGGATATGTCCAACAACGAATATTCCTGTAAGGCTAACAGTTTCCAGGTTAATTGTATGAGAAATGGTTGAAACAGTTTCCCGGATATACCTGCGGGATATATGGACGTATTTGGTTCTGTGTATTATCTGTTAGCGTAAATCTTGTGTGGCATCACAGATTTATCGCAATCCCAGGATGTCCAGAACGTCCAGTTACATTGATTAGTCATTACTTTAGATGAAACGATGCCTTAATATTTAAATATATGTATGTTTATGAATAAGTGTATTTCTGGGTATTTATTTATACATGTGTATAGTAACTGCTATAGTTATCCGAAAGCTAAAGCGATCTTAACATAATTGTTCAGCTTGATCTCAGTAGTGATTGAAATGATGTCTGAGTTTAATGAATATGTTTATTTTTTCCTCCATTTGATTGTCTGTCTCTCGGCACTTGGACAAGAGGACTTGCTTGCTCGAGCAGCCCTACTCTTCGTTGGTGAAAATGATCCTAATGTCCATCATATGCATTGGTAGATGATGTGATGATATTGGTAATGATGATGAGGAAGACAGTGAGCACGACCACCACGACAATGATGATTATGATTATGATTATGACTGGTGATGGCGACGAAAATAATGGTTATGATCATCTTTCAGTCGTTACGATGGGAAAATATGCTATAACGTCATAATAAAATTTCCACGTAGCTGTGCGTATAAATTTCACTGATATGTGTTGCATGGTCATTTCATTCTATGCTAATCAAATCATGAATAGCAAGTTAATTAAGGGCCATCTCTGGGGTACTGCGGCTATTTGTATATCTTTCTCTCTTTCTCGGTACTTGTAGGCATTGCTGTTATCGCCTGATGACAGTAAACATTGGTTCAACAGCAGAACTGTACCCACACCAATCAATTATACTGGCGGTTTTTTGGGCTTTATCGTATGTTTGGCTATATGTGTTTCACTGTATCTTTTCTGTATATATGTTAAATATATATGTTAATGCATATTATTTTTTGCCGTCAGAATAAAGTCAAGCTATTTCGAGTTTCGTTATGAATTATTATAACTGAAGTTGTAAAAAAGGTTTCACTTTGGCCATCTGAGGTGTTTTTGATTGCCCTGATGGCTCATTGCCTAACCGAAAATATTTAAATCCCGAGTGAGCAATTGT